AGTTGTATGCGCCTTGTAAGATCTAGAAAAGAAAATGGTTAATATTATTTCTAGAAAAATTGAATTGGATATCTGTTGATAAGTGACTTATTGCATCTAGTGTACCAAGACTAGATCAAAATCCATATTGAGTATTTTGGATAATTCTTTCCAAAGTTTTTATTATACAACATAATAGAGAAATGGATCGGTAAGACGAGAGAGTGTTTTCTCTTTGTTGGGTTTAATAGAAAGACATACAACTGTTTCTTTCATTTTGTCAATGTAATTTCCTTCCAGAAGCCAATCATTAAATGTTTTTATTTTAAGCTTTATCGAGGAATTAGTTAATCTTTGAATAAGTGATATAATATTTCCTCCCCTGAAAACTTCATTTACAAAATGCCTAAATTTGCGACAATAAAATGACAACTACGCTGTAAAAAAAATTACCTCCGGTTTTATGGGCCGTACAAATTTCTTTTTTATTTCTAAATATGTGTTTTTTTTGTAACCTTTCAGTTGATGTATTTTGTTTTTTGTAAAGGTAAAATACAGTCATGTTTGATTATTCTTAGAGAGAACACGTATATTTAGAGGTGCTTAAATAGTGATTAAGACCAGTTTTTTGTGACTTTCAATAATAAACCAATTTCACTACAACCCAGTTTTTGTATTTATTATTGTTTTTGTTTGCGTGTATGTAGTGGTAGTTTACAAAAATGGATGAAAACTCTCCCCCCCCCCTCCGACAAAGGGAGGACCCAAAATATGGACCAAGTGGAAGAATGCCTACAAATCAAGGAACAGGAAAAAGGAATTAAGCTGTTTAATCTACAAAAAGGTTATCTCTACACGGATAAGGTATATGTATTCATTGAAAAAACAAATCAAGAAAATATTGGCAAACTGCATCCTATGAAGGTAGGTGATATTTTACATCAAAAATTAGCAATCAAAAATATTCTTAGTATTTGCAGAGTAGGGAAGAATAGGGTAAGAGTACAAGTTAAAAGCCCCAAAGATGCAAATAATTTAGTAAAAAATGAAAATTTAAAAAAGGAACAACTAAAAGCATATATCTCAAATAACTTGCTTCAACGAAAAAGCATAATAAGAAACGTAGATACTGCTTTTAATGACCAGTATCTTTTTGATAATGTAACATCCAATGGAACAGTAACGGAAGTCACTCTACTCAAAAGGAAAATTGACTTAATGGAGAAAAAGTATATGTCCCAGACAAATGGAATTACTTAATTTTCAAGGAAACATTTTACCCAGATATTTATATATAAGCAGTGTTGCCTGTTCCGTAGAAGTTATACACTGCTTCAAATGCTTGCAACATGGACACATATTTCGTTATTGCAACCGTACAAAAACCAGATATATTAACTGCGGACAATATCATATAAATCTAAACATATCTAAAGCAAATATTATACAATATGCCGATGATTTCGTTGTTTATACATGTAGCAAACATCTCGACGAATGTATTAATCGTTTAAATTTAAACACAAAACTCGTTTTAAGATCCATAAGTGATTTAGGGCTTCAAATCTCTGCAGAAAAATCCAAAGTTATAATCTTCACCAGGCATAACATGAAAACGATGCAGAAAATTACAATAGATGGTATAGAATTTTGTGGATACCACGGATACCAATGTCGAATACTTAGGAATCACATTAGACAGAAAATTAACCTGAAAACTTTATATTGAACAAAGAGAGACAAAATGCAATAAAGGGCTAAACTTCTTAAAATCCATTATGTGAACTTGGTGGGTGCAAAACCTCAAACAGCTCTACTCTTCTATAAAGCTTACATAAGATCAACAATTGATTATGATTGTACAATTTGTGGAACAGCCAATAAAACAAATCTACGTAAGCTGGATATTATACAAAACAATTCACTCAGAATATGTCTGGGAGCAATGAAATCTACATCAGTTGAACCGTTAAGAGCTGAAGCAGTCGAATCTCCATTAGAACTGATAACATTATTTTTAGCTGAAAAAATAAATATTAAGTTGCTAAAGAAAAAGTCACTGTTCATTAGCAGTATGTATAAATTAAACGAATACGACCTAACTAAGCCTTTTTGGATTCATAAACACTCTTCTCCTATTTGTGATGGATTAAGAAACGTGACCTTAAAACCACAAACAAAGGTAGAGACCGACTACTTTGATCACTTTGTTTCCTGTGATGTGAATATACCCCTTTATTTGGAGTTAGCATCATTGAATAGTATGGTCATAAATCAAATTTTAGAGAAACATCCAAACTACGTCACTATATACACTGATAGATCAAAAAACACCGATGGTACAGGTTGCGCTTTCCTTATACCTAAACGTATACAGAAAAAATATAAGTTAAACAAAAACACATCAATTTTTACAGCTAAGGCAATAGCAATTCTAAAAGCACTAGAATATGTTCATTAGGAAGAGGATCAGAATGCTATAATCTTTTCCGAGTCACTTTCCGTTCTTAAAATTTTAAAATCAAACTCAAACACAACTAATGACATTATTTTTAGCATCCAAGCAATACTTAAACAATTACAAGGTTGAAATAAATATATAAAATTATTCTGGGTCAAAGCACACGCAGGAATAACAAACAATGAAATTGCAGATCAAACTGCCAAAGAAATCATAGTAATGGGGGAACAGAAAATTACGAATTAACTACAGACGAACAAATAATCATAGCAAAACAAAGAATGATGAAGAAATGGTCATATTTATGGCAAGAGTACAGCTTTACAAATCCAACACGTTACACCAGACTTGAAATCAAATGAAGGTGAAAACCTTGGTACATTGAGTACGATTACAGTCGAAAAAGAATAACTACTATATTAGCTATGTGAGTGTTTACCCTAAAGCCAAAAAAAACTAAAAATGGTAAAATAGAGCAGATAATTAAATTATTTATAAGGCAAAAATCTTGCTTTATTCGGCATCAAATTATTTGTAAGTAAATAATTAAAAGTTACTATACCTTATTAAAAATATGAAAATTTAAGATCTTATGAAGAGAATCAGACAAAAAGACTATTGTAAGTATTTACAAAGCATCTGTACAGACATTTGAAAATGAATTTTCATTTTATAAACAAATAGAATTGTGTAAAATGTACTCGACCGATCGAGTTCATCTTTCTCAAATATACATAGTACAAAAACTCACATAAATGTTCTTATTGTTTATTTTGATAATTATAAACAATTGAAAAAATGCATATTTTCAGGTATAATTTGCCATAAGTTTTTTGTTTGTAAACATTTTTTGTGAAAGAAACGTTTTGATCTAGAATGCGCAGTTTTTTCACAATATTGGGATTAATGAAAAAAATCGTTTTTTAGCTTAAATCTGTATTAAAAACCATAACGCAGTAAAAATTTCGTAACTTACGAGATGGTACCGCTTTTTCATTGACTTCTCCAGATATTCCAGTTGAAAAATAGCGCACAGTAATTTTTCGATTTGTAATTGCCTCGTTTCCTGGGATATATAGGTATAAACTTAGGCTATAATTCTAAAGATCGTAGAAGAACAAAATCTACCAGCTTAACAAAAATGTATATCCTAAATCTGGGTACCTTCCAATATGGGAAAAAGTGGCAATGAAGAAGTAGACTCTCTGGCAAGCAATGCAATATCTTGGACTGATCACTAAGTAAACATCAAAGGCCACATCTAAAGAGCGTTGTTATATACTCATCATTATTAGGTATTATAAAAGACAAGTCATTATCAACCGACTTAGAATAGGATATAATCTACTTACGCACAAACATATTTTCAACGAGAAGGATGCTGCAATGTATTCCAAGTGCAATACTCAATTTTCAGTGAAACATATAATTTTATACATATAATAAACATATAACAAACACATATAATAGTATATAAGAAAGAAAGAATTGCGTGTGCTTCAAGTGACAATTTAAATAATGTGCTGACTTCAAGTTTAACTTATTTAATTCAATTATCTCAACACAACAAACTATATAACAAATTGTAAAAAATACGTAATAAGATGTATCTTTAGTGGTTGATGCAACCATTAGTTAGGTTAATGATAACAACCATTAGTGTTTGATGCAAGTATATTTTATAAAAAATTAAAGAAAGCAGAATAACCTTGGTGATCGAAAATCTTTAAAATTGACCACAAAAATTTTTTTTACCCTCACATAATCGTGATGTGAATCACGGAGGAAATAAATACATATGTCATCCGGCATACTGGATACATTTTATGGAATCAGTAGAAATGCCGTGTACTTGCCGAAAATATGTCATGTAAAATGTAAAGAGAATCTCGAGACACCTACAGAAGAATACGAAATGAAACATAGCAATTGGTAAAAAGAACAAATAATGAACACTGGACAGTTTATAAAAAGGATGGAAAGCGACTTCTACGGTACATAAAAACAAATATGGAGGTTCATAATATACCAACGGATTGAAATGGCAGAATTGCAGGAATACAATAACATACCAGCGAACGAATGAAAAAGATACCTAACATAACTATTTAAAGAAAATAAAAAAGAATAATTAAAACAATAACGTTCTTGAATTAGGACACGAAATAGAAATCCGTTTTCAAGAGGTAGAGATAACCATAAATTCACTCAAAAATAGAAAGTCACCAAGACCAGACAGAATCACTAACGCGATTCTAAAACACGAGGAGAAAGTATAACACTAGAGATGACACAGCTTATAAGAAAACTAATATTGCACTGCAAGATACCAGACGCATGGAGAAACAGCATAATGATACGAATGTTCAAGAAATGAGCTTAGTGTCCGCACCACACAAAAGTCCTAACCAACAAATTATTCCGGTAAAGAGACCTGAAAAAAAGTTTTCACCAACTAAAGCCCGTAATTTTATATCAAACTAAAAAAAAATTATTAGGATCTCAGCAATAGAAAAATACTTAATTTTAGTAAAGTATTAAAAATAATTAAAATGTATACCTCCAAATTTTAATCCTTTTTTTTTAAACTCATCGTAGAAATTCTTGGTTATGGCACCTATTGAGATTCCTCTAGGAAGTTTGTTTCCATGATTTCCAAAAGGAAATTGAGGCGTCAACTGCGTGACTCCTCTTCTTTTCCAGTACCCATAGCAATAGTTTATGTAGACTTTACCCAATAAAACTATCGTAGCTAAAAGCAGAATTATATCGATAACGTTATTGTTTGTTAGAAGGGACATCTTGACTGAAAATTGTACTTAAGATGAAATCTATTTATTATGAATAAAAACCACTTATAAAAATGCGATAAGTTAGTGATTACGAAGTCAAAATGATGAGAAGTAATATAAAAATCGTTTATCTATCAACATTTAAATGATAAATGATTAAATTATTTAAAAGAGTAGCAACAAGGCGCAACTAGCTTTGTAATAGCGGCAACTAGTAACTTCTTTAGGCTCATTAAATTTATTCATAATCATTGTACAAATAGATATATGAAAATAACGAGAGTTTAATTACATAGTTGCAGATAATTTTGCATAAATCTTTTACATGCAAGTATAATAGCGTGCGGTTAATAGCCGTTATATGCCAGGAAAATGCAATTACCACTACTATTAGGTATTTCCGATTACTCGTATTTATATTTAAATTCATATTATATATATATATATATATATATATATATATATTATATATATATATATATATATATATCGGAAAAAGGAGTATGACCATCAATCCAATATATATAAGAATTACTCAGACGAGTGGTGGGTTCTTATATCGGTCTCTAGGTGGAGAAATAAAAGAAAAAGTTGATAGGCTACTTTATCTATTTTGAAGACGTTTCGCTTTCGAGTTTTGAAAGCATCATCAGTTCATCTTAAAAAGACATGTAGCAGTCAATGTTATTAACAATAATGTGAATGAAACTTAAGTAAATGGACATAATACGCTGATCTTGTATAAACAATTAAGTAACTAACAACATATATGAACTTATAAAAATTAGCACAGCAAATGACCATGTGGTCTAAAGTAAATTAAATGTTATTTAATGTTAATTAGTGAGCAAGAACCAAGAAAATCATAGATAACTTTCAACTATTTTATGATTATTAAGCTTTGATTTTAACTTTAGGTAGCATTATAAGTGATATTAATAAAAATTATAAAAGTAGTGTAAATGAAGTTACCGATCAAAGCCCTACAAGTGTAGCCGGAAAAATGTAAATTGTTTGCTTCAATAACCTAAGTATTTTACAGACCAATCAGTCTGTTTTTTTTCTGGCACTTTTTATAAGTTCATCTATACTTATTTGTATTATAGTGTCTGTTAAGTCTTTCTATTTAATGTTTGCATCCTGACTTTTTCTATTGGTTATAACTGGCAGCAGTTCCAGTATTTATCCTTTTGTCAATGTTAAATTTTATTTCCGTGTCTTTTAGTGTAAAGAAATCGATGTTGCGTCTATGTTGACCCTGTTTAGAGTGTGTTAAATTTAATCTATATTTATAAAAAAAAGGGTCACAACCAGAAGCTACGTCAGTACCTGGATATTTCTTTGCGAAGTTGATAAAATTTCTATCTCTTCTTTTTATTATAATATTTATTTTATTTGTTTCTTACGATTTTACCATTATATCCTGAGATGAGATCCAGGTATATAATCGCCTTTGTGAAAGCTTGTATAGTACAACTGCATTAAACAGGTTTTGTTATATTATAATTTATTTTACTTGGACAAATTCAACTAACCTTTCCACTCTTTCATTACGCTTGCCATATACACTCGGTTTTATACTTTAGTATAGAAACCACCCTTAATAATTAGTCTTTTATGTTTTTTACCATATTTTAATACTTGTTCAATATGACCGTAAAATTTTTTGATGTCACTGTCTTCACTATAAGCTTTAGGAGATCTGAGGATTATTAATACCCTCGTACTATCAAAAATCTGCCGGTGACTAATGATCTTAGCTTGTGTTTTAATTATAACGATTATACCAGAGAGAAGTAATAAAGTAGTTCTTCTTTAATAAAACTTCTAGTATTCAATAATAGATCGATCTAGAATCATATCCAGTACACTCTACCTTGGTACTGATGATGCTGCAACTCAACATTAAAGTTGTATAGGGAAAAGAAAAGTTTGGTAATCAGGTAGGAGAATTATTCTAGCACATAATTTCTACTGGGGGGTAAAGGGGTGGAATGCGAAAACATGGAGTTGCTTCCAGTTTACTCCACTTAGCCTCTCTTACTTAAATCCGACTCTCACCTTCACGCTAGTGCCCCCTGCTAAACCGGGCAATCCAACTGAAACGCGAAAATTTTATAAAAATGTGAACCACAACAGAAAAAAATTTAAATCTAGAATAACCATAATAACCAGTAAGGACGCCGAAATTATTAATGAGCCGTATCAAATAGTGAATGATACGGTGATACTGAATAGACGATGGGAGGAAGAAAAATAATATACCAACAGAAGAAGAAGTTGCCAAGGCAAGAAAAAGGTTACAAAACAACAAATCCCCTGGAGAAGATGGTATACCCCGTGAGCTGTTCAAGTATGAAGCAAACGCCCTAAAAAAATACATATAATACACAATAACACAATAAAACTTTTTGCATTTATTTGGAGAGAAGAAAAACTCCCAGACAGTTGGAATGTAGATATTATAATACCTATTCACAAGAAAGAGGATCCACTGATATGTGACAACTATCCAGGCATTACCCTTCTAAATACGGCTTACAAAGTACTGGCTTATATACTTTATGATCGTTTACTAGTATATACTAAGAAAAAAATAGGTAAATACCTATTCTGAAATGTGGATTCTTAACAGAAAGGCCAACAATTGATCAGATTTTCTTTCTCAGACAAACCTTAGAAAAGACAAATGAATATGGAATACCTACCAGTTTTCAAATACATACTGGATTACGCCAGGGAGACTATCGTGCCTATTGTTTAACATCGCGCTAGAAAGAGCCATAGAGAAATCGGGCATAACAACCAGAGGCACGATCATCAATAGAAGGGTACAGATATTGGCCTAGGCAGATAACATTGACATAGTAACACGGATAAAAAGAGAACTAATACAGACTTTTGAAACATTAGAAAAAGCTGCACAGACAATGGGACTGCAGGTCAACGTATCCGAAACGAAATACATTACCGTCAACCTTATAACAAAATACATGAAGGTCACGAACAGCACACAAATAGCGGCATCACAAGATCTGGTTATATAAGCACACACATTCAAAGGGGTGTCGAAGTTTGCATAACAGCAACCTAATAAGTGTAGAGATTAAGAGAAGAATATAACTGGCGATCAAAACTTACTTTGGACTAAAGCAGTTCTTAACATTACATACAATTAGCAGAAACCAAGATACTAATATATGAAACTCTTATTAAACCTGTCCTGACACATGCGTCAGAGACATGGACTATAGTAAAAAGCGAAAAAAGGACTGTTAGGCCGCTTTCAAAGAAGAATATTTAGACATATATACGGAGGACTACAAGAAAGCCGGATATAGCGCAAGCGCTACAATTTTAGTTGTATCAATTGTATCAGGTTTATTAAAATTAAAAGATTAACGTGGCTAGGACACCTTGAAGGAATGGATACTGGTGACCCCCGAAGACAGATATTATATTAAGAGCCAGTAGGAACCAGGAAGAGAGGCAGGCCAAGATCTAGATTTAAAACTCAAGTCGAAGATGACTTGAGGAATCTAGGAGTCAGAAATTGGAAAGCCAGGGCGAAAAATAGGGGGAATGGAGACTAATTCTTAAACAGGCAAACACCCACTCAGGGTTGTAGAGCCAAGGATGATGATGATAATTTCTCCCAGGTACTCCTCTCTCTCCCCCTCTCTCTCTCTCTCTCTTTCTCTCTCTCTCTCTCTCTCTCTCTAATGGTGCTACAGCTCAAATCGAGCCTTGGCCTCCTGTAAACTATGCCTCCAACGTTGCCGGTCTCTATCCGATCTTCTCCAGGTTCTCCAGTATCTACCCGCTACTCGCTCAAAATTGAGTAATGAATATAAAGAAGAATTATATTCATTCATGAATTAAATTTTATTTAATTTAATTAATTGCTGAAATAGTATATTTTCTACTATCACCCAAGCTGATTTATTATTATAAACAATTATATTATTAACTTATTATTAACTAAAAATTAAAAACTGTCGGTATGTGAAAATCAAAAACTCTACCGCTCAATTTTAAAAATTGATTAATCTTATCCAAACGTCTATTTATAGAACACCAGATAACGATTTTTTTGACAATCTAAAAACATTATTTTAGTCCAGGATCCCAGTCCCGTTTTCATCATTTATTACTATGGTCTGTTTTTTAACCAGGAGGAGTAATTCAAATTTTTCGCGCCATAATGCTTGTTTGTAATTGGTCCAAGTGCAGGCGAGTTTACTCCACTAAATTATGACATATTGACACTAATGACATTTGTGAAATTTTAAAATTCTAAATTTATATTGACGATTTTTTGTATTTTCTGCGTTATTCCTTACATTCATAGATTTTTCGTTTGCATTTATATAAAGAACAGTTCTTTTCAGAACTATTTAATGTTATTAAGATAACAATATGGATTCAATGCCAAGTACTAGTGGTAATTATTCTTCTCCACCTTAAAAACGCCGAGTAGATTTGGGTCATTTATCAACAAATAAAAAACAATGTATTATAAACATGTATAACAAAATTAAAATTGATAATTCTGGATTGAAAATAACAGCCACGGTAGCAAAAGTAAAACAGGCAGCAGGTTATTTTTGCAGATTAGTTATTATTAAAATCAAGACTTACTAAAGAAATTTGCTAATTTTAGGTGTTGCGAATTCAACTATTTACCAAACAATTAAAGAATATAAGCAGACTGGTGATATGCGAATATTATTTAATGTGATATTTTTATAGATGATATTTATACTAAATATTGTTTAAAGTGTTTATAAATTTATAAATGTATGTTATTTATATTTAATTATCATAATAAAAACGGCAACTATCTTTTAAATTCAGTGTAGGTACACCTTATTTTTATTTTTTCCCTATGGCGTACACTTGTTAAGAAGCATTTTCATTTTGTTTTCATCACAATAAAAGAACATTAGTAAAGCAATGTTGTGTTTTAGTTTGTTGTATTGATACAGTTGGTTTTGTTCTTCCTGGTTGTAGA